AATTAAACAATCATCGCTGGAAGGAAAGATATAACAACAATCGGAATCTTGATTGTGCTTTAAAACTGAAGCAGTCTTCTCTTGGCTCAGATTGTACTAGCCTCCGTTCCTTAGATGTTGAAACAAAGGTACGCGTGTATATAAATACTGATTAAAATTACAATTTTCACTAATATATAGCAAGTATATTGCTATACAATTACCAAAAGACGAGTTTCAGCTTCCTTTCATCCGGTTTGTAGTGATGATGAATGGAGACGCATGTTAAAAAAATACTCCAACACAAAACATGCTAGCTTAATCGACTGAATGCAAAATGTTGTTGCTGAAAGTTTTAGAATATTTTCATTGTTGCGTCATCGTCATATAAAATACAAGCGTTTATTTATTGGTGGGAATTCTATAAAAAAAGTAAAGAAACATCAGACATAAATTTAGCCTTAGTAAATCATATAAAAGTTTACCATAGATATAATATGGTAACAAATATAGGGAAGGTTGACACGTAGTCCATACGAGTGCTAAACTGAGAGACTCCTTATTCAACGATTTCAAAAGTGAGTGGAAATTCGAATTGTGCGAGACCAATTATGGTCTTGAGGCCCCTGGAGAAAGTAAGTCAACTGGTTAGAATATTCGATACCCAATTGTTAGATGTGTCATGCAGCCAAAGAACCACGATGTGTTGGAACATGATTAAGTCACAAACTAAACAAGGAACTCTAATGTAAAAGTCATGGGAATCAAGTGTTGATAAACATACTAATATGAGTATAGTACTTGGAATAATATTTGAAACGGTAACTCATATTAGTTATGGCTTATGATGTAAGTGTTTAAAATGCTTCCAGTTGTTTGGGCCTCACTTGTTACACTTTTATAAAAAAAATTGTATTTCAAGAAGCTGTTAGGTGAGTACCTCTCAAACATATACGAATGCTAGGGTAGAAAAACGTGATAGGTATATTCTCCGCTCTTACAGACCCTTTAAGAATTTAACATTTAACAACAGAGAATCTATTTAACATATGCGTCCAGCCAATCAATTTCATCTAAGTCCTGCCTTGTCGAATAGTAAATAAAGATCACTACTACTTGCACAGGCCTATATATATCAAAAAAACTTGACAGTATTAACCTGATGGGCAGGTATGTAACTACGGGCTACATGAATGCTGCAGCCGTAATAAGTGCAACGAGACCTTAATTGGGAGAGATCAATCGTCACACACTGGGCAATACCGGGAAGTTGGACATCACTTCCGGACAACCGTGAATTAAGTAAGGAGTGCACGAATGGCTGATGAAGGCCAGGCACCTACCCAAGCAGTCCACCCTCCTCCGTGTATCCTAGCATAAGCACACAGCTGTACTTCGTCTAATCCCAGGTCAAGAACCCCGCAGGGTGCCAGCTGACAGCAACTCCCTGCAACAAGAGCGCGGCAGGAGGCTATTCGCCTGTACAACCACTTTGGTGCCGGATAACGTTGTGGATTGGGACGGTCAGTGCGGACTAAGTCATGTGATTGCAGCAGAGCTGTGGAGTATTGAACGGTGAGAGTATGGCATGCAGAGCAATGTGGGTGCACTGAAATTGCTGCGCAGAGCGGCTCGTCGTATCCAAAGCCTGGCCGCTTCACTGGCCTTCCCTCTAACAGGCGCACTGTGTGGCACTGTGCACACTGTATGTAGACCAGAACCCATGTCATCTGACCTTGCCATGAGCTAACTATTCACCATGCTCATGTGAGCATATCAGCTATAGATGTTTGCCTAGTTACTCCACCCTGTGCACATGTCATTGTATGTTGCCCTGTTAGTGCCTCCTACTCCACTGGAAATGTGATCCCCCAGGCGTATTCTGTCTCGTTTTGTGAGTCATCACGTGTCTAGTCCTATAATAATAAGTCTGAGAACTACTCAGTCAAAGTAAATCTTTGGTAATCGCCTATGCCTGGTCCTCCAACACACCGGGAGGTCACCAAGAGCCAGACTGCCACGAAGGTGGCTTTGACAGAAATTTAACGAAATTAGGCTGGGGACATAAGGTAAAAGTGCCTGTATAAGCGATGGACATGTTGCATTAGGTGGAGTCTTGAGAAATTCAGCTATTCATTAAATCAAATATGACAACAAAGCGTTAAGCTTGCAACGAACAGAAGCCTGTTAGCAAGCAAATCTATAGCCAGACTCAGTTTTGGTGTTCGCTTTGCATGAACCCTGAATATGCACACTAAACTGCTATAGTGAAACAGCGGGAGCAGCCAGAAGGGTAGCATAAACAGGTCCGTGGATTGCACTTGATGTTTTGATTATTGGTGCAATACATTTAACTGGTTAGGGTAAATTGTGGTGGCGTGGTAAGAAAGTGTTGAGCCTAGAGTTGCTTCATTCAAAGGGGTGTGTAGCCCACAACAGTGCAAAGCTTTATGAAGGGTGAAGTTACAGAAGAGGCAATTCAGTCTTCACTGGATAGCCATGTAAGGGATCAGTCTGATAGAATCGCGTACAGCAATGCTAGGTACAGTCTACATGAAAGAATCTGCTTATTGCCAATAATTAAAACATGACGATTGTGTCCAATACATGGACAATTGAAATGTGTTGTGAATGTTTTCTTTATTTTTTAGAAAGATCATTGCTGGTTTGATTGAGTGTCAGGGAGAATCTTTCAACTATGACAAAATAGTGTCATTTTT